TCATTGATTTGGTATTAAGAAAATCTATATATTATGCGATATATTCTTTTTTTTTTTCTTTTCAAACAGACTCATTTAGTTATCTATTAATATATAATAAGAATAAGAATTACTACCTCCTATTCTTTTTAAATGTCATTTTGACATTATCAACTATTAACAAAATAAATGTTATTTTAGATATTTTGTACATATTTTTCCATTATTACCCTCATCTAACTAATAAATACACTACGTCTTTTCATATTCACTATTCATATTTTCTCAAAACATTCATCTCTATTCACTTTTAGAAACTCTTTCCCCTCTAAATTCATTAATTACATGCTAAATTTAGAATTTTAGGACAATTTTGGATAAGAAATTAATGAGCATCCAGAATTTTAGAAATAAATTGATACTCCCTCCTTTTCAAAATAAGTGTCGTTTTGACTTTTTTGATTCATCCATTTTGTTATGTATCTAGACATAAATATGTCTAGATACATAGTGAAATGGATGAATCAAAAAAGTCAAAACGACACTTATTTTAAAAAGGAGGTAGTACAATCTGATTTTTATTCACTTTTCAAAATTTGTTTAGATATTGATCTATGGAATAAATTGGTACATCCAGAATTTTAGGAATAAACTGATATAATCTCAATTTGCTAATATATAGGCAAAATCTATAGAATAATATAGTTCCAGCATGGACATGGCCGTGCATCTCCACTGCTTCCCGTTTGACCTCTTACACCTCAAAGGTATTTTATCCTTCCACAAATATATATATATATATATATATATATATATATTATTTATTTTATGTTTTAGAATTTTTAATACAATGATTAATTAGAATCAAACATTCTACAAATTTATTAAAAAAATTACTATTTAATCATTTGTATTCTTCAAAAAGGCCAAGAGAACCTGAGGAAAACCTTAAGAAAGACTACTCTTCTCCTAACTCTGCTCAAGAGGACTTCAAAAAGCAAAAGATTGAATCTGGTAAGGTGGGGGTGGCCAGCCTAGAATGGCACCCAAGTGATCAATGCTAGCTGCGGTGTGGAACTGTAGAGGGCTGGGTGGGCCCTCTACAGTTTCCCAAATCAGAGAGACCATTAAGGCTCATCACCCATCTTTTTTCTTTATTTCAGAAACAAAAAAAAAATTCTGCTTTTGTTAATACTATTTGTAAGAGACTTGGTTGTGAAGACAGAAAAGTCATTGTTAACCCCCAAGGCCTTAGTGGTGGCCTTCTTCTTTTCTGGAATTCAAATGTCATTATTCATCAGCTTATATGTCAAGACTTTTTTATTGCTGTTGAATTCCAGCTTCCTCAATCTGATAAGCAATGGGGGATTTTTGTTTATATGAGTGCCTGCAGGAACAATAGAATTTCTCAATGGGAAATCTTGGAATCTCTTAAGTCTTCTTGGGGACCTAAATGGTTTGCAGCAGGCGATTGGAATGACATTTGTGCTAACTCAGAGAAGGTTGGAGGTATTTTCAGAGGATCCTCCAGCTTTCAAGGTTTCAATTCTTTTATCAATAATATGGAGATGGAGGAAGTCCCAATGATCGGTTACCAGTATACTTGGTGCAACAATAGAAGCTCAGAAGAAGCGGTGGAAGAAAAACTGGACAGAATTTTTGGCTCTATAGAATGGATGCTTTCTTCCCCAAATGCCAAAGTTCTGAATATGGTCAAAAGCTCATCTGATCACTCTTTACTACTACTCAACTCAGGAGATCCTAGCTGTAAAATCCCCAAAAGATTCTCCTTTGAGAAGAGATGGATTGGCATGGCAGGGTTCACAGATATAGTTCACAAAGCTTGGCAGTCCTCAGTAGAAGGTACTCCTTTCTTCATCCTTAAAGAAAAAGTCAAACTCACCAGGGTAGCCTTATTGCAATGGAGTTCATCATTTCACACTCAGAATCAGCTCATCATCAAATCCCTTACTCAAAAACTAGAAGAGCTGAGAGAGAACAAGGCCAACTTAAATTGGGAGGATTGGGAGAACACCAGGAGAGACCTCAATAGAGCTCACTGCTTTGAGGAGAGCTACTGGCAACAAAAATCCAAGATAAAATGGCTAAAGGATGGTGATGGGAACACCAAATTCTTTCATGCCTATGCTCAACAAAGAAGGAGAATGAATGCTATATCTAGATTGGTTTCTGCCAGAGGTCAGGAATTTTGCACTCAAAAAGAAATAGAAGATCATATCACTGATTTCTACTCCAATCTCTTTTCATCTGAAGGAACTCTGGGGGGTGATGCAATCATTCATCTTATTCCTAAAACCATCACTGAAGATATGAATCTAACTCTTCTGCTCCCTGTTGAGGATGCTGAAATCAAAGACACTCTTTTCAGTTTGGAACCAGAGAAGTCTCCGGGGGAAGATGGTATGCATGCTCTTTTTTATCAACATTTCTGGGACCTGATTCAAAGTGATTTCACTTCTGCTATCAAGAGTTTCTTTCATTCCAAACAAATGCTACAGTACTGGAATCACACCATCTTATCTTTGATTCCTAAATGCCCACTTCCTGAATCCCTGAGCCAATTTAGACCAATTGGGCTATGTACTGTAGTTTACAAGGTGCTCTCTAAAATCCTTGCCCAAAGACTGAAAAACTGTCTTAACTCTTGCATCAGCATTTACCAATCAGCATTCCTCAAAGAAAGACAGTTACTTGACAATGTGATCATTGCACAGGAAGCCTTCCACTTTCTCAACAGACTTACCTCAGGCAAACACTGTTTCATGGCAATTAAATTGGATCTCATCAAGGCCTTTGACAGGGTGGAATGGCTTAGCCTGCAGCAGATTATGATTCAAATGGGATTTCACAAGGACTTTGTGGCTCTTATTATGATCTGTGTTTCTTCTTCTACTCTCTCAGTGAAGGTTAATTGTAGAGTCACTGGATATATTAAGCCAACCAGAGGGATCAGACAGGGGGATCCCATTTCCCCCTACTTATTCATTATCATGGCTGAACTTCTATCTGCCCTCATTCTTGATGCTGTGAATTCTGGTCTTTTGCAGGGCTTAAAACTCTCTAAAAATGGTCCTCTGCTCTCTCACTTACTTTTTGCAGACGACTCTCTTCTTTTCTGCAAGGCTGATGCTCACCAAGCTGGAGTGTTAATGAATATTCTGCATAAATACAAGCTCTATACAGGCCAGGCTGTGAATCTTCTCAAATCAGCTGTCTTCTTCAGCAGAAACTCTCCTGCTCACATTAAGTCCAGAGTTTGCTCAGTGATGAATGGCATCTCTTGCCACAGATCCACCAAATATTTAGGTTTACCTCTGGGGATCGGGA